CACCCGCCTCTTCCTCGCCGCCCCCCCGCCAATCGGTCACGCCAATGTGATGAGGAGGGCAACTCAAGGCGATGTTGGGTAGCCCGGCACGGCGTGGGGTGGCCCAGCGGGGCCACGGCAGCACGGCATGGCGTGGTCCGGCACGGCGTGGCATGGTCCAGCGTGGCCATGGCAACATGGTGTGGCTTGGTCCAGCACGGCATGGCTTGGTCCAGCACGGCATGGTGTGGTCCAATATGGACATGGCACCGTGGTGTGGCATGGTCCAGCATAGCATGGCTTGGTCCAGTACGGCATGGTGTGGTCCAGCATGGCCACAGCAGCACAGCGTGGCATGGTCCAGCATGGCATGGCTTGGTCCAGGACGGCATGGTGGTGTCCAGCGTGGCCACAGCAGCACAGCATGATGTGGTCCAGCATGGAATGGCTTGGTTCAGCATGGTGTGGCTTGGTCCAGCACAGCATGGTGTGGTCCAATATGGACGAGGCACCGTGGTGTGGTGTGGTCCAGCACGGCATGGCTTGGTCCAGCATGGAATGGCTTGGTCCAGCATGGCCACAGCAGCACGGCATGGCATGATCCAGCACAGCATGTTGTGGTCCAATATGGACATGGCACTGTGATGTGGCTTGGTCCAGCACAGCATGGCTTGGTCCAGTATGGCATGGTGTGGTCCAGCGTGCCTGCAGCAGCATGGCATGGCATGGTCCAGCATGGCATGGCCTGGTCCAGCATGGCGTGGCTTGGTCCAGCACGGCGTGGCTTGGTCCAGTGTGGCCATGGCAACATGGTGTGGCTTGGTCCAGCACGGGATGGTGTGGTCCAATATGGACATGGCACCCTGGTATGGCGTGATCCAGCACAGCATGGCTTCGTCCAGCACAGCATGGCATGGTCCAGCATGGCGTGGCTTGGTCCAGCATGGCATGATGTGGTCCAATATGGACATAGCACCGTGGTGTGGCTTGGTCCAGAACGGTATGGTGTGGTCCAATATGGACATGGCACTGTGGTGTGGCATGGTCCAGCACAGCATGGCTTGGTCCAGCACGGCATGGCTTGGTTCAGCACGGCATGGTGTGGTCCAGCATGGCATAGTGTGGTCCAGCACAGCATAGCTTGATCCAGCACAGCATGGTGTGGTCAGCATGGCATGGCTTGGTCCAGCGTGGCCATGGCAGTATGGTATGGCCTAGTCCAGCACAGTGTGGCTTGGTCCAGCGTGGCATGATGTGGTCCAGCATGGCCACAGCAGCACGGCATGGCATGGTCCAGCACAGCATGGCTTGGTCCAGCACAGCATGGTGTGGTCCAATATGGACGTGGCACCATGGTGTGGCTTGGTCCAGCACAGCATGGCATGGTCCAGCATGGCATAGTGTGGTCCAGCACAGCATGGCTTGGTCTAGCACGGCATGGCTTGGTCTAGCATGGCCATAGCCATATGGTGTGGTGTGGTCCAGCACAGCATGGTGTGGTCCAGTGTGGCCATGGCACCATGGTGTGGCATGGTCCAGCACAGCATGGCGTGGTCCAGCACAGCATGGTGTGGTCCAATGTGGTCATGGCCAGCATGTCACGGCTTGGTCCAACACAGCATGGCTTGGTCCAGCACAGCATGGTGTAGCATGGTCCAGCACATCATGATATGGTCCAGCATGGCCACAGCACCATGATGTTACCTAGCATAGCTTGGTCCAGCACAGCCCGGCACAGCCCAGCATGGCCATAGCAGCATGGTGTGGTGTGATCCAGCATGGACACAATAGCATGGTGTGGCACAGTGCAGTTCAGCATGGCTTGGTCCAGCACAGCATGGCCCCAGCAGTGTGGTTTGGTATGGTCCAGCACAGCTATGATAGCATGGTGTGGCATGGTCAAGCACAACATGGTGTGGCCCAACAAAGGACTGCATGGTTCTCCATGATGTGGCCAAGTATGGCATGGGACAGCCTGTTCACTCAAGTTCTCCCCCACGGGTCCCCACTCCCTGTGCTCCCCACCACAAGCCCTGGATGGGCCTGGGTGAAGGGGGTGCTGGCAGGGCAGAGGGACCCATGGTGCTGGAGGGCTTGGCTGGTGGTCCCCCCTCAGCCCCTCATCTAGGATGGTGCTGCTGGGGTAAGCAGAGGAGCCAAGGCAAGGGACATGGCTTCAGCAGGACGTGCCTTTATTTCAGTGGCTGATGGCCCCCGACGTGGTGAATCCCCATTCCCCACCCCACAAGCCCTTGGTCCAAGAGATGCCTGGTGGCCACGGCTGCTCAACCATCCCACGCGGGGACACCGGGGCGGCGTGGTGCCAGTGGCCCAGACTCGGAGGCAGGCGGTGAGTCGCTGGCCCGCGCCTGGGCGAAGACGCGGTTGCGGGTGCCGAAGAAGATCCCACGGCCATGGCTCCTGGGGGTGTAGGAGCCATGATGGCGATGGCGATGGTGGTGGGGTGAGCAGAAGGGGGCCCTGAAGGCCTCCTGGAAGCCCCGTCGAAAGTTCTCATTGAAGTAGCCGTAGATGATGGGGTTGGCGCTGCTGTTGAAGAAGGCCAACCAGTGGGCGAAGGGGAAGACGTAGACGGTGACCAGGCGGAGCTGGCCCTCGCTCAGCCGCCCGTAGTCTGTCAGCAGCATGAGTGTCCAGAGGGGCAACCAGGAGAGGGTGAAGAAGAGGGCGACGATGATGAGCATGTTGATGACCTTGGCCTTCCTTCGGGAGACCTTCCTCCCCTCCGGCTCACCTTGGCTGCGATCGGGTGCTGCTGACTTGAAGAGTTTGAAGGCGATGCGGGCGTACATGATGACGATGAGGGCAAGGGGGGCCACATAGATGTGGGAGAAGAGGACAGTGGTGTAGATCTTCCTCATCCCTGTCTCAGGCCAGGCCTCCCAGCAGGAGTAGAGAGGGTAGGAGTTGTTGTAGGTGTCCACCATGAAGTGGTGCTCCTCCCTGGTGACGGTCAGGGTGATGGCAGCGGGGCACATGATGAGCAGAGCCAGCACCCAGATGATGGCAATGGTCACCAGGGCTTTCTTCAGCGTCAGCTTCTGGCGGAAGGGGTGGACGATGCAGCGAAACCTGCAGGAGGACAGATGGTGATGGCTTTGTGCACGTGGTGGAAAGTCCCTGGGGAAGGAGGGCGGCCAAGACCCAGGGGTTGGAAGGGAGGGTAAGATGGGTTGCTCTACATATGGCTGTTGGTGGCAGAGACAGGTTAGGATCTCTCCAGCTTTGGTGTTTTCAGCCCAAGGTAGGGAAGGACACCGTGCTAGGATGCCCCATGGACAGCTTTGTGGCCCTATGGAGGGATGGGTCATGCTTGTGATGCCCCTGGGAGACTTCCCGTGAGGAAAACCAGAACAGCACACCCAAACACTCTGAGAGGAGGCTCCATCCCCATGTCCCCCAACGCCAACGTACCTCTCCACGGCAATGGCCACCAGCGTGAAAACAGAGGCAGAGACGGACATGCCCTGCACCAGGCCGCTCATTTTGCACATGACGTTGTCAAAGGGCCAGCCTGCGAGGGGACACCAGGGAGGTTCTAAGTGCCATTGGCTTGGCATCAGCAACCCCCTCTAGATGTCTCCATCCACCATGCTGTTGCTGGGGGATGTTAAATCCTGCTCCTAAGGGGGGGTGTGCATTTTTGGCTCATGCAGAGATGGCCTTTAGCAGTACAGATGCTTGGAGAAAACCTCCAAAATTGGTAAAAAAAAAGCATATTACACTTCTTAAAAACTCAAGGAGCACAGTGATTGTCATTTCTCCTACCCTTACGTATGTCTTGAGCTGTTAACTCAGGGACCAACCTTGGGATCCTCAATCAGAAGAGCTTTCATCTTGTTTCTTGACCCCCGATAAGGCGTTAGCAATAAATAAATCACACTCCATAATAAATAAATCTGGACTCTGCCCCGTGCTCCAGCTGCTGCTTCAGCCAAAGTCCTCCAACTGTGCCAATGTCACCTTTTATCTTTGGAAAGGTCAACGGGCAGAGCTGAGCCAGCGTGGGGAGAAGATCGATGCAAGAAAAGGGTTTTGGTTTTTTTCATCGCTGCTTGATGGAAAACAACTGAACTTCAAATAAATATGTAAATGCAGCATTAACGTCATATTTATATTGCCAAAACCTAAAAAAAACCCACTTTCCCCCTAAAATAGTAGGTCTAAATGAAATTATGCCTTTCATCAGACGTGGTTGAGTGGCCACCACCTGCCTTCCTTATCCTCAGCAAAAAAAAGCATCCACGGACAAGAGATTTGGAGGTGGCCTCCTGTGTGTGGGGTGGAAGGCGGGTGATGTTGCCCATCGATTTCTCACCTCCCACTGCCCCACTCACCTGTGATGAGGTTGTCCACCAAGGTCGTGGGCATGCAGAAGATGCCCACCAGCAGGTCACTGATGGCCAGGTTGAGGATGAACATGTTGGTGACCGTCCGCATCTGGCGGTTCTTCACCACAATGAAGCACACCAGGATGTTGCCAATCATGCACATGAGGAAGATGAAGGTGTAGGCCAGGATGAACATGGCGGCCACAGGGGAGGAGTGCTGGTAGTAGGCCAAGAAGGTGTAGTTCTCCCTCAGAAGGTGGCTCTTGCTTGCGGTGGAGTTGGGCCAGCTGCTGTTGGAAGGGCCTGGGGAAGGGAATGCAGGAAAATGAAGCTGGAAGAGGATAAAGCGATTATTCCCTTCGTTTCTTAATGCTCTCAGAGGTGGGGTTCCATATTTACATCTGTGCCCAGCCTGGCTGGGATGTGTCCTGCTGGGATTGTCTCAGCACCCCAACAAGTCTTCTCATCATTGGGTTGTGTGGCCCAAGGTACGGCAGCACCTTGACTGAATTATTATTTTATATCCATATTATTTTATATCCTTATTATTTTATATCCTTATTATTTTAGATCCTTGTTATTTTAGATCGTTATTCTGATGAGGAATTCAAGAAGCCCAGAAGACATCCTGTTCTCATGAGATCTTTTTTAGGGGTGGTGCAAGGAAGAGAATTCCACATCCCGAGACTGAAACGCTCCATCCCTGTGGGAGCCATGTCCCCTGCCATGGCCGGCCCGGGAGCATCCCTGCTCCTGGGTGTCTGCTGCTGCTTCTCCTCCTTGCTCTTCCAAGGTTTGCAGTTTGGGATCCCCTAAAATCTTCTCCCCACCAAAGCCACAGTACCCAAGGGAATCATAGAATCATAGAATCATAGAATGGTTTGGGTTGGAAGGGACCTCAAAGATCATCTAGTTCCAACCCCCTGCCATGGGCAGGGACACCTCCCACCAGACCAGGTTGCTCCAAGCCCCATCCAGCCTGGCCTTGAACACTTCCAGGGATGGGGCAGCCACAACTTCCCTGGGCAACCTGTTCCAGTGTCTCACCACCCTCATAGTAAAAAATTTCTTTCTGAGATCTAATCTGAATCTTTTTTCTTCCAATTTAAAACCATTTCCCCTTGTCCTATCATTACCCTTCCTGGCAAAGAGTCCCTCCCCAGCTCTTCTATAGGCACCTTCAGATATTGAAAGGCCGCTATAAGGTCTCCCCGGAGCCTCCTCTTCTCCAGGCTGAACAATCCCAGCTCCCTCAGCCTGTCCTCATAGGAGAGGTGCTCCATCCCTCTGATCACCTTCGTGGCCCTCCACTGGACCTGTTCCAGCTGGTCCATGACAGAGGAAATCCCTGCCCTCCCCTTAGGTATTAACATAATTAGACGTAATTATGATCATTATCTGGGACACAGAGAGCTTCTGATGGAGGTGGGGGGGTGGTGGGGTGGCATTTTGCCGCTAGAAATTTAACGGGGGGAGCGGGTCTGTGCAGCACCCACCCTGGGGTGTCCCCAGCTTGACGCAGGAGGATGCCGGGTGCAGCTGCGGCGGTGACGGGACTTACCCCGGGCTGTGATTTGAAGGCAAGACCAGGCATATTTTCGGCTTGAAGGCTCAGCCCGGGCTCCTGCAGGTCAGCCCTGCTCGGCAAAAAGCACTGCAAACCCTCTGCATGGTGGGCGGCTGTCTCATCCCCCCCGCCATCCTCGTGCCAGCGCCGGCGCTCAGCTCACCAGCCAAGATGCCACCGGGACCACCGGCTTTCCTGAGGCTCCATCACGTGTTGATGCCCTGCCCAACCTCTATAACCCCTGCCCTGGGCACGGTTTTGGGCCACCACGTTTCCAGCGGGGCTTCAGAAAAGCACCAGGGGTTTTTGCAGCGTTGGCAGGGGAGAAGGAACCTCGCAGAGAGGCAAGGAAACATCAGGGCTGCTGGGGCAAGACGCTCCGGCTGGTTGGCATCAAGATGCCCCCGCCCCAACTGGCTTCGTCTAGCAAAGATTGTAAAGGGATTGCCCGAAACCTGTGGTATTAAGCCCGAAACTTTGCCGGACTTTATCTCTTTGGGCTGCGGTGTCTTTGCAGCATTAGAGGGAAGTGGGTGTCCTAGGGATGAGGAATCACGGGCGGTTTTCCGAGCGAGGTGGAAAGCGAGGAGAGGAAAATTCGGGGCTGCCGAGTGTCCTGGTTTGGTGCTGGATGGATGGAGGTGTCCTCCTGGTCAAC